GGGGGAGGGCGTGGAAAGAAACAATTTTATTGTGTAGGCTACCACTGGCAAAGAAGTGATTGCACTGGTACTAAAAAAAAGGTAAAAAATCTAGAAAGTAACAATAATAATGCATGAATTTCAACATTCAGGAGGCATCCTAATGGCTAATGATTGAGTGAAGGGTTATAGCGGACTGCGAATGCCCACATTCCTCTGAAACAGCATCCTTTGGCAAACTCAATATTTAAAAGTCCCCCTGAAGATTTACTAAAACTGATGAAATTGGTTTAGCTTTGAGGAATAATGAGCTCCTCCAAGCTTTTTGCAAAGAATTAAAGAAAAACACGGATCCTTGGCTAAAGCTGTTGCAGCGCAGGTGAAACTCGTCATCAGCTATTTTCCTATTCAGTGTCTTCAGAAGCCTCTTGTTTGCTTGATCCTCTCTGCTTTAATTTAGAATAAAACATCGCTAGTATGCAGACAAGGCCCCAATGGGGTGTGTTTAGTTCAGCCCAGGCAGAGCAACCCGCTGTGGCATTAACCAGGGAATTCATAAAGATTTAATGTACCTTCCACACCTCCCCATTCGAGAAAGGAGCTGGAGTGATCGGAGATGATGTGTGGGGAGAAAAAGCAGCCCAAAGCTTTTCTTTGGCCCTCTCCAATTTGTTGTTTAATATTAACAGGAGCATTTCATGCTTATGTAAGTTAGATAGATGCCAAAGAAATCTGAAGCAAGGTGTTAATACTTAACGCAAACACGTTCCCTGCTGTTTCCCAAGGTTTAAAAAGGTGATCAAGACTTATTAGGATTAAGGGCTCATTTCAGCTGAATTGATCAGATGGCATTTGGGTGTAATTTAAGCTAAAAATACAGGGAAGGAATAAGCAGATTTTATTTTTGTATAAAATTGTCTCCCCCTCTCCCTCTTTCTCTGCCATGCACACATGCGTACGTGGTCACACTTACCCTGAGCACCATTGGTTTGGGGTTGGGGTTTGGTTTTGGTTTTGTAAATTGGGGAAGGTTATTTGAACTGGATCCGCAGTGAAGGTAGCGATGCCTTGTTTCTCATCTGATGCATTTAAACATGTTCCCTTCCCATATCACCTGCACGTTTTCTGTCTCCAGACCTGAAGGCAGGTTGTCCAGAGCCACGTTGCTTGAGCCATGCAGGGACTGATTTAGCTTCCACCATCATCGTCATTTCACCACTGATATTTCTTGGAGTCTGTACTGAAATGTGTCCAGACAGTAAAAACTGGAGCTGGAAGATGAGAGAAGAGGGATACTCTTTGGTGGAACAACATTGCCATCTCATGGTGCGGGTGCATCCCTACAAAGTCTGCAGCGATGCTCTCATCCCCAGCGTTCAAGGTCGTCGGCACCAAGTGCACGCAAGTCGCGCGGCGGAAAATCCAGGCAAGTATGCAAACTTCACCAGCCTGCTCCCAAGCCCTAGCAATAGAGGACCTGTTCCAGGATTGGTCTCAAGACAGGGTTTTCGGACACCCACCAGCAACCTCTCTCCGGTCCCGTTTTCCCCGGTGACAATCCTGCTGCTGCCTCCACGCCAGTCCCTGCTCTCTCCACTTCAGGGTTCTTCTGTTAATTCTCATTTTCTCAAGCTTCGCTAATAATTTCCCATGCGGCACCATATCAAATGCTTTATTGAACTCCAGATAGATTAGATCTACCAAATTTCCCTTGTCTGGAAAACCAATTATCTTATCAAAGGAAGATGTCAGCACAGTCTGGCACAAACTGCCTTTGGTAAACCTGTGTTGCACTTTATCTCATTTTTCTCAGTGCCTTTAATTAACGTTTCCTTCAGAATTTGTCCTACAATCTCGTGTATAACTAAAAACAGGTTAACACATCCATAGCTGGCTGGCTCATGCTTTTCATTTTCCTTATCTTCCCTTACTTTCCTTATAATCCATTTGCTTGTGGGGGTTCAATCAGTGCCATTTGACCCACAAGGCTCATTAGAAATCTCTGCTCTCCCCTTGGCACATCACGCGCCGCTTCTCTCCAAGTGTGATGGAGACTTCCCCAACCCCTCAGGCTTCATCTGGGTCCCCTCCAGGGTCTCGCTTTCAATGCAGATGTGGCTGCTTTCATTCCCTCCCCTCTTATTCCAGGTCTGCCTTCACTCCCCAATCCCCATCACCTTTACCACCAAAAAACAATCATCTGTTTAATTTGAAGTGAATGCTTTGATTACCCTTTAGCCTGGGCCTGCTTTTGCTGGCTGGCTGGCCCCCTTTCTGCCTACTTTTATATATTTCGCTAAGGAAACTTTTGATTATTTGCTTTTCCCTTACGTGTGCACGGTCATGCTCGGCCTGGCTCTATCCTCCCCTCATTTTGAAGACGTACTTTCTTGCTGTCCTGCTGGTTTTGTCCATCCCTGCCATCTCTCCATCCACTCTCCCTATCCTGGAGATCCGGAGCCTATGTCAGGCCCTCGTCACAGCACAAATTCCTGAAGAGGGGGGGCAGAAGGCAAGAGGGGCTGGCTGCAAGTTGTCCATGCAGGATGGATCTTCCTGGATCAAAGATGCTTCTGCAACTCCTGAGTATTTGCAAAAGCTATTCTCACCCTTGGGAGAGAAGAGGTCCCCCTCTAAACGTGCCAGCGCAGAGCATTGCTCGTGGGAAGGTCTCCTACTGTCTCTGATGCTGTGGACGTGCAGGTGGTCAGCAGAGTTAATGAGGGTGAGGTCCCTATGAATTTTAGCCACCAAAAGGTAATTCTCATTTTTTTCATCAGATAATGACATGTCATGACTGAAACGAAGGTAACGCAGAAGCATCTGGTTCCTCCACTCTGTCGCGACACAGACCAAGGGCCTGCAACTTGCAGAATTATTCCACGTTATCGCAGGGGAAAATCCTGAATTCTGGATAGGCTTATGCTGAGATTATTACAGCATGGCAGTGGAGCAATGTGCCATCACACTGGGGCTGTAGGTTTAAATTTTGCTTAGCATTTGTAATAAATGTCCCCTCCAACTATCACTGGGTACTAGATCACACAGGCTGGGGAGCTGAAGATGCTCACAGTGATCCTCTTTGCTGTTGTGCACACCCAAAAAAAAACCAACCTGGAAAATGCAGCCTTCCCAACAGTCTGCTGGCTTTGTTTTGGCAGATGCTCAAACAAATGTTGTGTTTGGGCATGGTAGGATCCCATCTTTTTTGAATCCATCCTATTGGACTCATGTCAAAATACGCTGACAACTAGATTGGACCTCTTGGAAAAAGTCTTGTGTTTTACTGATTTTCTGTATTACAGCTCTTTCGACGGAGGCACCCTGCGGATCGTGTGAAAAGAGGGGTCAGGATGGAGCCCACTGGAGGCAGTGAGCAGATTTGCTCATCGCCACAGGGAGGAAATAACTAGGGTGAAGAGAGACTTGTTACTTCTACCGTAAACCCTTCAGTGATGGCAGGGGAGACCGGTCCATGCTAGCATCATTGTTGGAGTGCCTCCAGGCAGCTCTGCAGCCCCTTCTGCCTTTTTTTCCACTCCCCACGCTGTCAGCTAGCTGGAGGAAAGCCATCTATCACAGCTGACCCGCTCTACCCACTGCTTATCTAGATTTAGCTTGCAAGTGCATAATTTATGGTCAGTTGGTTCATCTCCTCTGCTTTTCGTCAATGCCCTGCGTTTTATGGGTGAGCTTGTGAGAATAAAAGCTACAGGGCTGAGGTGCCCACGAACAGCGAAAGCCCTACCTCCAAAGTACACAAGCCACGGAGGCGAACGCGGGCCATGGAAACAAAGGGGCTAATAGGTGTCGATAAGGGGTTTGGAGCAAAGAGCCTCATTGTCCTCCTTTGCAATCTTTGGGTCAGGAAGTCATTCTGCAGAGATTTGTTTTGCTGTCCTTCCTCTGTACATAGGATAAAGCAGGCAGAAAGTGTGAATACATTGTTAGAGGCTGAGCGCCAAGAAACCAAGAGAAATCTCTCAGAAGCATTTAGTCATGTGCCCCAAACTTAAATTTACCTGAAAAAAACCTGGTAGGGTTATACACAACCTTATAATGACTTTATTTCTGTTGTGATTGTTGCTGTTGTTCTGCTTAATGCCTTTCTCACTTAAAAAAAAAACCCTAACACGACCCTGTAGCAATCACTATAGAAATATTATTTGCTTGTATTATTCTTTAGGTGGTTCCTGTGCTGGAGGCAGTAAGCAGTTACAATCACTCAGTACATAATAGAGGAATTCATTCCAATAATAATAACAACATTTATTATTTTTGAAATATGAATCTGATGAATTCATGAATATAGAAAGCTCTTGTTGCTGGCTGTCCACAAAATGGTAATAAAATCAAGCGTGATTTTCAGACAGGATTTTGCTGTTGATTTCTAATGCGCTTACGCCAGAGGTGCATCCATCACCGCTTGGCACCCAGGTCCTGGCCCTGCTGTGGGTTTGGATCCACCTTCTCGCAATGCCGGCAGCAGGATCGCTGGTGGTGCAGGCAGCGTTTTCCTTCTGGTATGATTTGGGGGATGGCATCGGCTGCTCTGGCCTGGCTGAGCAGAGCACGGGAGGGCAGGGATCAACGCGAGGCAGGGATCAATGCAGGGCAGACCAACCTGCTCAGGGCACTCTGCTAACAGAGCATTTACCAATGTTCATTCTATTAAAAAACCCCTGTTTCTTAGAGGCAAAGCAACCACTTGTCTGGAGTTTTATCATTCTCCAGCATTCCTGTTCTTATTATTTATTTATTTTTTAGGAGCTGGGAGCTCTGTGCGGTCTAACAAACCCCATGCTTGCAGAGCTGGGTGGATTTGCTCTGGACTGCCCTGCTTGCGCGCGAAGGCACCGCAAATTGCTGATGGGCTCTGCTTGGTGGGGGTTCTTGCCTTGCAGGGTTGACACGGCCCGAATCTCCTTGGCTAAAACACAATCTGTAGCACGTCAGCTGGTAGTTTACACTGGCTCTGGTCAGAGGCAACTGAGCTGGTTCTAATGGGAGGAGATTTTTAGAAAGTGTTTTTTGCCAAGCGAGGCCCCAAGGTCTAATGGTGTTTGCACTCAGATATACCAGCACAAAAAGCTGTCACAGTGTGAAGGCAGATTTAGAAGCACTCCCAACTAAACCACCCCCCTCTACACTGGACTGACAACATCGTGGCTTTAGTTAACAACCCCTCATAAAAAAAGAAGCCTGTCCGATGCAGCCCTAAAATCAGTTGGTTCCCCAGAGTCCTGTTATGGTGATGTATAAATTAATCTCGGAAAGGGTTGACTAAATTGAAGTGGAGGAAGGCTATAATAATGCACATGTGTTTGCGGAGTGGGGTGCTATCGCAAGCTGGGAAGCTGCAAAAAGCTTAACAAAGTAAAATTAGGCATCTAAAAGTAAACTCTTCTCAGGTTGCAGATACGGTGCCTGCCTTTTCAGTCATTACGCTTGCTTTATCTCTGAACTGTATGGACGTTGCAAGTGGGTTAGAAATATAAATATGGAAACCTTTGAGCATAAACGTATTGCTTTACAATTGCTTGTAATTTGGCACAGTTCAGCTCCTTGCATTCCTTCCTCTGATATTTTTTTTTCCTCTCTGTGCATTAGTGCCTGTGCCTATTAGTGCCCTGCCTTCCTCTGAGCTGACCGACGAGCTTGTGTTTGAGAGGTGTAACTCTGGGTCCCAAAGTGCTATGAGCTCCACTTCTGTCCCTATGCACATAAGGTATAAGTGCTTTACTGTATCCCAAGCGACAGCTATTGATTTTTGGTAAAATAACTAAGAAAGCTCCAAAGGAGCAAACAAGTTTTCTACTGGATCAACGTAATTATAAAAAAAGACACAAGCTTTCAGTAAGTATCAAAAGATGTATGTGCTGGCAGTTAACAACAGCAAGCAGGTTGCTCATAAGGATTAGTGTACAAAGGAAGAACATCCAGGCACATTTCTCCCAGTATCTGTGAACATTCGGGCTGGTCTTCCAGAGGTCTTCCTCAAAACTGAGCACTGTGGGGTGAGGAAGGCTTTACTCCCCTCATCTTGGCACTTAGGAGACACCGCGTCCAGCTTTGGGTCCCTGGTGTAAGACAGGCATTGGGAAAAACAGAGAGGGTGTGGTGGAGGGCCACCAGGATGGCTATGGAGGGTGTGCAAGGAGAGGTCAAGGGAGCTGCATTTGCTCAACCCAGAACACGGGAGGAGAAGGGGGGTCTGGTTGCTGCCTCTCCCTATTCTAAAGAATTTATATAGAGAAGGCTGAGCCAGACTTTTCTTGGAAGTGCACAGCAAAACAGTGAGAGGTGATGGTGCAAAGCTGGGCTGTGCCCTGTGCACAGCTCCTGAATGACGGGCACCTGGGTTTAGTTGCTGTAGCTTCCTGAGGTGGTTGTCAGATGGGCTGAAATCTTCTAGAAAGAGGTCTT